GGCCTGCTCAACATGGCAAAACCCCGTCTCTACTAAAAATACAAAAAATTAGCCGGGCATGGTGTTGGGCACCTGTAATCCCAGCTACTCGGGAAGCTGAGGCAGGAGAATCACTTGAACCCTGGAGGCAGAGGTTGCAGTGAGCCACGATCACGCCATTGCACTCCAACCTGGGCAACAAGAGCTAAATTCCGTCTCGAAAAAGAAAAATCCTTAGAGGGCAAGGCATGGTGACTCACGCCTGTAATCCCAACACTTTGGGAGGCCAAGGCAGGTGGATCACTTGAGCCCAGGAGTTCAAGACCAGCCTGGATAACATGGTGGGACCTCGCCTCTACAAAACAGACAAAAATCAGCCAGGCGTGGTGGCGCGCACCTTAGTCCCAGCTACTCAGGAGGCTGAGGTGGGAGGATTGCTTGAGTTCAAGAGGCAGAGATTGCAGTGAACTGAGATAGCGCCACTGCACTCCAGCCTGGGTGACAGAGTCCGACTTTGTTGCACTTGGAGCTCTGGAAACCTCTAAGGTTCTTGGGAAAAAAGTTCACCTGCTTGGCCGGGCACCTGTAATCCCAGCACTTTGGGAGCTGAGATGGGCGGATCACTTGAGGTCGGGAATTCATGGCAAGCCTGACCAACATGGTGAAACCGCATCTCTACTAAAAATCCAAACATCAGCCGGGTATGGTGGTGCATGCCTGTAATCTCACCTACCTGGGAGGCTGAGGCAGGAGAATCACTTGAATCCGGGAGGCAGAGATTGTGGTGAGCTGAGACTGCACCATTGCACTCCAGCCTGGGCAACGAGAGCAAGACTGTCTCAAAAAAAAAAGTTCACCTTCTCCTCTTGTTTTCCATGTGGCAGCCTGGATGGCATGGTGGTGATGGCGTCAGACTGCCTGGGCTTGACTGCTCTGACCCTTGCCATCCATTACCCTCAACAAGAGAGGCAACCCTTCTCTGCCTCAGTTTCCCCATGTGGCTGACAAGGCTACTTAAGTCATTCCATTGTCACAATAATTCACTGACTTAATACATATACAGTGTTTATTTTACTTTTCTTCCTTCCTTCCTTCCTTTTATCTCTCTCTCTCTCTTTTTCATAGGGTGTTGCTCCATCACCCAGGCTGGAGTGCAGTAGTGCAATCATGGCTCACTGCAGCCTTAACCTCCTGGGCTCAGGTGGTCCTCCTACCTCAGCCTCTCACATAGCCAGGATTACAGGTGCGCACCACTATGCCCAGCTAGTCTAAAACAATTTTTTTGTTGAGACAGGGTCTTGCTATGTTGCCCAGTCTGGACTGGAACTCCTGGCCTCCTTTCTCAGCCTCTCAAAGTGCTGGGATTATAGGAGTAAGCCATGTTGACTGTTTAGAATAGGGCCTGCCAGGCACTAGCAAATACTCAGTGTTAGTTGCTAGTACTGTGTTTTTTGTTTGTTGTCGTCGTTTTGTTTAGTTTCATTTCTTTGAGACAGGGTCTCAGTCTGTTGCCCAGGTTGGAGTGCAGTGGTGCCATCACAGCTCACTGTAGCCTTGAACTCCTGGACTCAGGTGATCGTCCCACCTCAGCTTTCCAAGTAGCTGGGTCTACAGGCATGCCACTATGCCCAGCTAAATTTTGTATTTTTAGTAGAGACAGGTTTTTGCCATGTTACCCAGGCTCATTTTGAATTCCTTAGCTCAAGCAATCCTTCAGCCTTGGCCTCCCAAAGTGCTGGGATTATAGGCATGAGCCACCTCACCTGGCCCTGTTTTAAAATATTTTTAAGCTGGCTGGGAGCAGTGACTCACCCCTTAATCCCAGCACTTTGGGAGGCCGAGGTGGGCAGATTACCTGAGGTCAGGAGTTCGAGACCGACCTGGCCAATATGGCGAAACCCCGTCTCTATTAAAAATACAAAAAATTAGCAGCGCGTGGTGGCGGGCACCTGTAATCCCAGCTACTCAGCAGTCTGAGCCAGGAGAATCGCTTGAACCCAGGAGACGGAGGTTGCAGTGAGCCGAGATCGTGCCATTGTCCTCCAGCCTGGGCAACAAGAGTGAAACTCCTCAAAAAAAGGAAAAAAACTTTTTAAACTACCCTTTTGTATTAATTTGATTCCAATATCTCATGCACATTATGTGCCAGGCACCGCAAAACAGTACTGTGAAGTCAGCCACATTTTCCCCATTTCAAAGAAGAAGAGGTTGATTCTCAGAGAGGTTACACCCAGGGTTGCACCAGGAGGAGGGGCGTGGGCTGGGATCCAATCCGAGCCTGTGTGACTCTGCCCCCCATCCTGCTTTGTGCCTGGACATAAGCAGCTGCCAGGAGAGGACCACAGGAATTGGGCTGGGACTCTGGAGCCCAGACTGGGCTCCGCTGCCCATTGCCTGTGAGGTCTTGGGCAGCCACATAATCTCTCTGTTCCCCGAGTGTTCATTCGTAAATGAAGGAAGTGGAAGACCTCTGAGGCTCTCAAACGCTCACACACAAAAGAGCCCTGGGTCTGGCCCAGACCTTCCGACTCACACCCCCGCAGGTGGTGCCTGTGGCTGCGGCTCTAACCAGCACCCCAGTGACTGCCGCCCGCCGTGTTGGGAGTCCCTGGCTGAGCTGGCCTGTGGGCCCTTTCCCGAGAGGGAGAGGCAAGTGGTAAGGCTCTGGCTGCGCCTGCCCCCGAGTCCATGTTCGGCAGAGCCTGGCCTGCAGGAGGGGTCAGGGAGGCTGCAGAGAGGAAGGTGAGGGGCTGGGCAGGGGAGGCCTCCCTGCAGCTCTGACGCGGGCACCTCTGTCCCTGAGAATGGTTACTGCAGAGGGGCAAGGCTCCCTTGGCCCTTAGTGGGTTCCTTCCGCCCATCACACAGGACGTTGACAGCACTTTACAGCCCCGGGAAGAGCCTGTGGCAGCTTTCCGGCAGAGACCAGACTGTCCCCGCGTCCTGTGGAGTCTAAATGGGCAGGCGGTGAGGACACTCCCGCAGGGGTCCCACCAGCCCCTTCCTCCGGGGGGCTGGGGTGCGAGGACTAAGGCAGGCCCCGCTTTCCTCCCTCCCCTTGTCTTTGGTGTGAGGGGCACACTGCACTTTGGTGACTATTCTGGAGCCCCAGCCGTCAGCCCGGGTTCCCTGGCCTCCTACCTGGCAGTGTCCTTGAATGCAGAAACCTGGCAGTCCCCACCCCACGCCCACTCCCCCAGCCCCCAGGTCCGATTCTTCCTCGTCCACTAGGGGGAGCCAATACACACAGCTCGGCCTCCCTGGGGCTCCTTTGGGAACCTGGCGCTGGCACTGGGCTGAGCGTTGGGCTGAGTGTTGGGCTGGCGCTGTCCCTTTGGATCCTCCTACCTGTGATCTCCGTATTTTTTATTTTTGCAATGGTAACTTGAATTATTTTGATTTCACAAAATAACATTGAAAATACATGAATACTTATTTTAAGACTTTCAAATTGTCATAAAATAACATAAAATATCTTCGGTTTGGCGGAATACATAACTTTCCTTTTCCAGTAACAGTATAATTCTTTACCCACATTAATAGTTGTATATCCTGGCTGGGCACAGTGGCTCATGCCTGTAATCCCGGCACTCTGGGAGGCCGAACTGGCCAGATTATGAGGTCAGGAGTTCAAGATCAGCCTGGCCAACATGGAGAAACCCTGTCTCTACTAAAAATACAAAAATTAGTCAGGAGTGGTGGTGTGCACCTGTAATCCCAGCTACTCGGGAGGCTGAGGCAGGAGAATCACTTGAACCCAGGAGTCAGAGGCTGCAGTGAGCCGAGATCACACCACTGCACTCCAGCTTGCGTGACAGAGCGAGACTCCATCTCGGAGGGGGAGAAAAGAAGTTGTATATCTTAAACATATACAATAAGGAAATAATACTGTCCTACAAAATAAAACTCAAATGGTATACGTATGACAAAAACCAAACCTAGACTGTCATAAAGAAGGGGAGGATTACAGGCTTCTATATAAAGGCATGCTCACATCTATCTGTTAATGATCCCCACTTTGCAATTCATGCTGAGCCTTGTTACTAATAGCAGTCATTGCAGCAAGCATGTCCACCAGACATCAGGCAGCGGACTAGATGTGCAAATAGCCTTGCATTGTCTTCCGCCCTCACTTAGGAGGAGGAACCCCCACTTTCAGATCCAGGCCCTGAGAGGGAGTGAATTGCCCTGGGGCACAAGGGGAGGGAGGAAACGGAGTTGCTGCACCAGGCCAGGGCATGTCTGGCCTTCTGGCTGCGCTACTCCCTGGGGTCCCAGAGACTGTCCTGGAGACAAAGCTGGTGAACCTCGTTTATCCCCGTCCTTAGAAGAGGTGGCCAAATGTGAAGCCACCACTGACCCCAAAACCACCAGCAGCTGAGGCTGCCCTGGGGCAGGCGTCAACCTCAGAGGTTGTTTGTGCCAGTGCCTTAGTGTCCCCTGCCTAACCTGCATCCCCCAAAAGCGCTTCTTGGCTGGCACTTCCGCACTATCTCCTATATCTATGCAAATTCAGGGCAGATGTAAATTGGAGGCAGATATTTATTTTTATGCAGATGAGCCACTCCAGAGTGTTTGGTGCATTGGAGATCTCGTGAAAGCAAAATATCTCGCGGCGTGCGCTGCTTGTTATGTTCGGGTTTTAAGTCGTGTCAGCGTTTACATTTTCTTAATATGAAAAATGCCTGTGTTGTTCTGCCGCCAGCTCCCCCTCCCTCCCTGCAACCCTCCCTGCAACCCTCGGCCTCTCTGCTGGTGCCTAATGGTTTCTTTATTCTCTTGCTTCTGCTTTCTTAGTCACAAGTTTGGGAAAAAAGTCACCTATTTCAACTACCTGAGCGAGCTACATGAACACCTTAAATACGACCAGCTGATAATCCCTCCCGAAGTTCTGCGGTGAGTGCCGGTGAGACCCCAGAAGCCACATCAGTACCTCTTCGTGCTTCCAAAGGGCTTGGTTCGATCCATGAATGTTTAAGGCTTCGTTTCCAAATGTGTGCTTGGCTAGCTTTGGCTCAGAAATCTGCGGCGTCGACAAAGATCTGCAGCTGCTGACTCAGAGAAATGAGATTGCAAAGGTTGTATGCGGTACGGGCTGTTTTCTTCGCCCACCACTGCAAAACTGATTTAAAAAATAAGCCCTCGCCTGGCAATGGCTGTTTGTTGCCTTAGTGTTTACCGTTTTTGCTTTTGAGCAGAAAATTGGGGGAATTTCCCAGGCGTGTGGATAACGCTGTGTACAGAATGAAATGTTCTCAGGGACGTCGCGGGCGCTCTAGAAAACGACCTGTCTGCTGGATGCTGAAAGCTTGATTGGTGTATCCGCTACGAGGCTTAAACATAGGCCCGGATGAATAGAAGCTGCCCAGGAAGGTGCATGCCACGCAGCCAGTACAGAGTGTGCAGATCCAACCTGGGTCTCTGGACCCCCAGCCTGGGTTCCCTCTGCCCCTGTCTCCCTCTCTGAGGGGCTCCTTTAAAGGAGTAGGCTCTTGCCAAAGTGCATGCAGGTGAGATTGGTAGCTTTGCAGGGGCAATGGAGATAATAACTTCTCTCCAGATGCCAAGTCACGTGGCAGGTGCTGGGATATAGAGGTGTTTAGGGAGTGTGGTCCCTGCTCTCATGACACGCTCAGGCTAGTGAGGGCCACAAATCAGTGATGACAGGGGCCAGAGGAGGCATTGAACCCAGCTGGGGAGGGGACTGATATGTGGGGGTAATCCAGGAAGACTTCCAGGAGGAGGTGGCTCTTAAAGTGAGTTTCACAGGGACAGTTGGCTAGATCAAGAGGCCAGGGAAGCCCTCCTGCAAACATGTGGGTGAAATATTGGGAGATCTGGAGGCAGCAAGAAGTCCCAAGTGATCAAGCAGAAGTTGGTGAACGTGAAGCTGGAGGTCACCTTGGGCTGGGAGTCCTTGGTGCCGAGCAGAGGAGAGTGAAATGGACCCAGAGGCCATGGGAGGATGATGGGAATCCTTGGTCTGCCGTGGGCCCTGGCAAGACTCCACTCCCAGAGCTCACTAGAGTGACCCGGGGGAGTCCATGGAGACGGCTCAGAAGATGTATTTTTAGCAGCTCTGTGGTGGAAGTGATTTGATCTGGTGACAAAGGGTAGCTTCACATCCTCCCGCGTGGGAGAGTAATTTGGGGATGAAATGGACAGCATCTGAAACACCCAGCTCCGGCTTCTCAATGGCTACTGGGTGCAATCTAGGGCCTCTGGAATGTGCAGGTGGCTGGCAACACTGAGGGTGCAGGGTCCTGTGAGTCAGAGGGGCAAGGTTTGGGAGAGGGGCGTGGGCTTGGGCATTGGGAGCTCCTGAACTTACTCTGTAGGGAGCCAGTACCCCTGTTCCATAGCCGTGCAGCAGAACCCCAGAGGACACGTCCAATCCTGATGCTTTTAATTGAGCATCTACTAGACTTGGGGGCTAAGTCTGGATTTTATCCACCCCCACATACTTCCTGGTGGGTGCTGTGAGGACCGGAGGCTGAGACCCACTGGCAAAGCAGCAGGGCAGGGCCTTGGGGTCCTGAATCCTGGCTGGCGTCCCAGCTTGTGGCCTGAGGCAAGTCCCCAGACCTTGACAAGCCTCAGTTTCCCAATCTGTAAAGTACACAAAATAACCCTTTCATGGTAGGCCCCTCATGAGGGACAAAGACCTCTGGGGAGCCACTCGGGACACAGAGCGCTGTGATTAACTCACAAAGGACAACCCAACCGCACGTGGCAGCGGCTCACACCTGCTTGGCTGGCCAGGCTCAGTCCAGTGTGCCGCCTTCTCTGCAGACCTTCCCTGCGTGCCGGGTGCCTCTGCGACGTGTGCCTGCACCGTCTTGTGTCACTGACTGCCTTGCTCCCGAACTGCTGACTAATGATCATGTTCTCCCCCTATCCTGTGGCCAGGTTACTGCTGTATGCACAGTGCCCGGCACATAGTAGGGCCTCAATATGTATTTGCCTGTGTTAAGGGAGGACTGTGTTGAGGGAGGACTGTGTTGGGGGAGGACTGTGTTGGGGGAGGACTGTGTTGGGGGAGGACTGTGTTGGGGGAGGACTGTGTTGGGGGAGGACTGTGTTAAGGGAGGACTGTGTTGGGGGAGGACTGTGTTAAGGGAGGACTGTGTTGGGGGAGGACTGTGTTGGGGGAGGACTGTTACCTGCTGCACAGAGGCTCTTTCCTTTTCTTTTTTGAGGTAGAGTCTTGCTCTGTCGCCCAGTCTGCAATGGCACGATCTTGGCTCACTGCAACCTGCACCTCCTGGGTTCAAGTGATTCTCCTGCCTCAGCCTCCCAAGTAGCTAGGATAACAGGCGTGCACAACCATGCCCAGCTAATTTTTGTAATTTTGGTAGAGACCGGGGTTTCATCATGTTGTCCAGTCTGGTCTTGAACTCCTAACCTCAAGTGAAACGCCTGCCTTGGCCTCCCAAAGTGCGGGATTACAGGCATGAGCCACCGCGCCCAGCACAGAGGTTCTTTTTACTGGAAAGCTTTAACGTTAAGCTTCCTTCAGAATTTATCCATCCTCTTCAGAGTCCAGCTGTTCATGGCTTTCTTCATTCATTCAACAAATATTTTAATTGAGCATCTACTAGGCAGCAAGCCCTTTCCAGACACTGGGGACAAAGTAATTAACAAAAGGGACAAGTCCCCTTTAGCACTACAAGCCAGCGTTTGTCTTAATTTCAGACACTCAGGAGAGCTGAGGGTGGTCACACCCACCTCGGGGCTGGCCGCATGGCAAGCGGGTGAGGCCACTCTGCCGGCCAGGGTAGGCCCGCTGGCCAGGGGTCGCAGGAGAGAATGGACACTTGTTGGGGACTGGGCTACTGCCTGTTGCAAGAATAGCCGACAGCAGTGGGGGATTGTGACCGCGTGAATGTGAATGTGTGTGAGCTGGCAGCATGGTGTGTGTGCCCCGAGGGAGGGGACGCCCAGGTGTCCTGCAGGTGTTTGTAGGGTAGCCAGCTCCACCCAGCGCCTCCATGGATGCCAGCTGCCCCTGCCAGGTGAGAGCCCGGCCTCTGTTGTGTCTGCAGGTATGATGAGAAGCTCCAGAGCCTGCACGAGGGCCGGACGCCGCCTCCCACCAAGACGCCGCCCCCGCGGCCCCCGCTGCCCACCCAGCAGTTTGGCGTCAGTCTGCAATAGTAAGTGAGCCAGGGATGTGCCTGCTCCTATGCCCTGGGCCCTGGGAGCTGTGGGGCGCTTCAGAGTCCAGAGACATTTTCCCGACTTTTGTCTCCAGCAGCCAAGCTTAACCCTGCAGGGAAGATAAAGCCTGAGCTCCTCACTGAGGCTGCGGCTCGATGCTTGGTGCCTGGTGGGGGATTGTGTGCTCGCTGCTCTGTGCCTGGTGGGGGGACCGGCAGTGGGTAGCGGATGGGGGTCTCTGGGGTTCCCACCCCAGCTTCTGTCACTGCTGCCCTCTGGGCATACACTTCCCACCACCTTCAAGGAGGGCGTGGTCACAGAATGTGCTTAGGTGTGGATGTGGGGCATGTCGTGCTCGGAAGAAGCTTCCGGAGCCAGTGGGCAGCTGCCTCTCATGGTCACGTACAGGTCTGGGTGAGGCAGAGACGGTGCCTGGTCACTCTGCATCCCTGATCCCCGCATCACCGTGCACCCTGCTAACACCCAGGCTGGACACAGGCATAGAGAAGACAGGCTTGTGCTGGACTCAGCCACTGAGATTTAGGGGTCATTGTTACTGCAGCGTAACCTGTCCTCCCTAATACCCTTTATCAGCCGCATGATCTCAAACTCACCTCTTCTCTTAGCTTGTTTCCTTATTTCTGGTATACAATCTTTTTTGGGCTGGCAGGAGCAGTGTCTTGCTCTGCCTCTCAGGCTGGAGTACAGTAGCTCCATCTCAGCTCACTGCAACCTCCGCCTCCTGGGTTCAAGCTATTCTCCTGCCTCAGCCTCCTGAGTAGCTGGGGTTACAGGCGCCTGCCACCACGTCTGGCTATTTTTTTTTGTATTTTTAGTAGAGAGAGTTTGGTCATGTTGCCTGGCTGGTCTCGAACTCCTGACCTCAAGTGATCCACTCACCTTAGCCTCCCAAAGTGCCAGGATTACAGGTGTGAGCCACTGCACCTGACCACCCAGGGTAGATTTTGAAACATTTTGAAAGGTTTTGAGAACTGAGGAGGCTCTGGGTGGCATCTGGGCCAGGGGAGGAGATGCATTGGTCACTCGCCCTTTCTGAGCCATGTGGGCAAGGGCATTCCTGGGGTTAGAGGGGAGTGGATTCGGCCCTGGGGACTTGCCTGTTTCTTTCTTGGCCGAGAGTGGTGGAGCTCAGGGAGGATAGGGAGGGAGGCAGAGTCATGGACCCCAATGAAGTCCATACCCTCATTCCCAGAACCTGTGATTAGGTCACCTTACGTGGCAAAAGGGGCTTTGCAGAAATGATTAAGTGAAGGATCTTGGGATGGGGGGTTATTCTGGGTTCTCTGGTGGGCCCAAAACAATCGCCAGCATCTTTACAAGAGAGAGGCAGGAGGGTCAGAGTCAGAGGAGATGCGGCAGCAGAAGCAGAGGCCAGAGAGGTGCGGGGCCAGAAGCCAAGGTACTCAGGCACCTCTAGAAACTGAAAAAGGCAAGGAACGGATTCTCCCCGGAGCCTCCGGGTGGAACACAGTCGGGTCAACCCATTTTTGACTCCTGACACCTCCAGGATATGAGATAATACATTTGGGTGTTTTGTTTGTTCGTTTTGCTTTTTTTTTTTTTTTTTTTTTTTTTTTTGAGACGGAGTCTCGCTCTGTCCCCCAGGCTGGAGTGCAGTGGTGTGACCTCAGCTCACTGCAACCTGTGCTCCCTGGGTTCAAGCAATTCTCCTGCCTCAGCCTCCCAAGTAGCTGGGATTATAGGTGTCCACTGCCACGCCTGGCTAATTTTTGTATTTTTAATAGAGATGGGGTTTCACCATGTTGGCCAGGCTGGTCTTGAACTCGTGACCTCAGGTGATCCACCTGCCTTGGCCTCTCAAAGTGTCAGGATTACAGGTGTGAGCCACCTCGCCTGGCCCATTTGTGTTGTTTTAAGCCACCGAGTTGATGGTAATTGGTTACTGGGGCCACATGAAAATAAAGCAGGTGGTAGTGAGTGGTGGGTAGTTGTGAGTCTAGGGGGAGGGAAGTGTGTCTAAATCTTGTTTCCAGAAACAGTGAAGGTTGCTTCCAGGGTGCTTAAGCCCAGGAGAGGGCTGGGCCTGGAGTGCAAATGTGAAGCTGGGTGGGCATCTCACACTAAAGAGGACCATTGGTGCCCCAGCGTGGACCCCTAGACCAGCGCTGTCTGATGGAACTCTCTGTCAGGATGGACCTGGTCTGTGCGGCCCGGTATGGTAGCCAGTGCTTGGTGCGGCTGGTGCAGACGCTGAATTTCTAATTGTATTTCATTTTAACTAATTTCAATTAGAACTGTCGCAAGTGGCTTTTGACAGTTGTACTGCACAGCACAGCTCTGTTTCACCCTCGCCTTCCCCAACTAGGCACACACACAAGGGGTTGCCACTTAGACATTTTGTAAGCACTGTGCCAGTAAATGAGCAAGAGAATATATGTTGAAATAGAATGTTCACCCCAAATATATCTGGAACATATAGTTTACTACCAAATAGTACTTCCTTTTCCTTTTTCAGACATTGTGAGAATGTGCGGGTATGAACAGCTCTTCAGCTCCCATCACCCCTTAGGGGCCACCCAGGAATGCTGGGCTGGGCAGGCACCTGCAGTGACCTCAGGCTCCTCCTGGGGGCGCTGGTGAAAACTGAGCCCTTGAGCAGGCTGAGCCAGCAGACCAGAATTTTTTTTTTTTGGAGACTTTTTTTTTTTTTTTGAGATGGAGTCTCACTCTGTCGCCCAGGCTGGAGGGCAGTGGCAGGATCTTGGCTCCCTGCAACCTCTGCCTCCCAGATTTAAGCAATTCTCCTGCCTCAGCCTCCTGATTAGCTGGGACTACAGGCGCACGCCACCACACCCAGCTAATTTTTTTGTGTTTTTAGTACAGGCGGGGATTCACCATGTTGGCCAGGCTGGTCTCGAACTCCTGACCTCAAGTGATCCACCTGCCTCAGCCTTCTACTGGGATTACAGGTGTGAGCCACCAGGATTTTCCAGCCATCAGATGACCGCTTTCCCCATGTTCCTGAAGCCCTGTGCCTCCAGCCCATTACTGGGGCTCTGCTGGACTGATACTGCTTCCTACTGCTTGCATGTGCTCTGACACACAGGGGCCTAGGGGTGGGTCCTCAGCTGGGAGACTCCAGCCACGCCTTTCTCCTCTCTTATTTTATTGTTCAGAGTCACTTCTCTCTTCTTATCATCTAACAAAACTTTAAAAAGGAAAAACAAAGGCCAGGTGTGGTGGCTCACACCTGTAATCCCAACACTTTGGGAGGCCGAGGCGGGTGGATCACCTGAGGTCAGGAGTTCAAGACCAGCCTGGCCAGTATGGTGAAACCCCATCTCTACTAAAAATAAAAAATAAAAAAAAGTTTGTCGGGCTTGGTGCCGCACGCCTATATTCCCAGCTACTCAGGAGGCTAAGGAAAGAGAATTGCTTGAACCCGGGAGGCGGAGGTTGCAGTGAGCCGAGACTTTGCCATTGCACTCCAGCCCGGAAGACAGAGAGAGACTCCCCCTTAAAAAAAAAACAAAGAAAAAAAGAAAGAAAAAAAAAAAACAAGCACAGCTCACAGACTTCGAAAGCCATCTACGTGAGTGAAGTGTGGGAAAATGGTTAGCCATGGCTGTAGGCCTCAACTCCTAGAAGGCCACCAAGAGATACGCTGCATTCTGAGCAGGTGCCTTTCAGAACGTACTAATGCAGGGCCGTTGGCTTTAACTGTCACCTTGCCATAGTCCATCCCTCTCCAGGGCCAGTTGTAACCATAAAAGTCCAGTCCTTAGCTGCTTTCGGGACAGTGGGCCACACTACGCGTGCCGCTTGGAGAGAGAATCCATGCAGTTGCCTCTTTAAATTAATATGTGGTTTCATTGCCAATGATTATAATAAAATGGCAATAAACATTTTAAAGGAAGCACTAGATATGTAATTTGTTTGGACTGTGAATGAATGAAAGTCATTAAAATTCATAACTGAATCCTATTCACAAATGTTAATTTGCCGAGTTAAGTTCAAAAGCATACAGCAGAAAGCTATCACCTTAGAATGAGCTAATTAAGTTAATATATTAAAGGGAAGTCAAAGATGCAAGAGGTCTTTGCTTGCCATCCCTGAAGAGGAAAAATGGAAACCTGAGGCCTGTGTGGGCAGCTGGGGGAGGTGGGTACAGGGCAGAGCTTGAGGTGTCCTTAGGCCTGGGTGGAGCAGGTCATGGCTGAGCTCTGGCATTTTTTTTCTTTTTTTCTTTTTTTCTTTTTTTCTATTTTTTTTTGAGAGGGAATCTCGCTCTGTTGCCCAGGCTGGAGTGCAGCGGCGTGATCTCTGCTCACTGCAAACTCTGCCTCCCGGGTTCAAGCGATTCTCCTGTCTCAGCCTCCCGAGTAACTGGGACTACAGGTGCACGCTACCACGCCCGGCTAAGTTTTGTATTTTTAGTAGAGACAGGGTTTTGCCATGTTGACCAGGCTGGTGGCAAACTCCTGACCTCAGGTGATCCACCCTCCTCAGCTTCCCAAAATGCTGGGATTACAAGCATGAGCCACTGCACCTGGCCGTTACTGTTTTTATTGTTTTCGTTTTCGTTTTTGTTTTTGTTTTTAGGTGGAGTCTTGCTCCATTGCCCAGGCTGGAGTGCAGTGGTGCAATCTGGCTCACTGCAACCACTGCCTTCCAGTTCAGATGATTCTCCTGCCTCAGCCTCCTGAGTAGCTGGGATTGCAGGTACCTGCCACCATACCCAGCTAATTTTTTTGGTTTGTTTTTTGTTTTTTGAGACAAAGTCTTGCTCTGTCACCCAGGCTGGAGTGCAATGACATGATCTTGGCTCACTGCAACCTCCACGTCCTGCATTCAAGCGATTCTCCTGTCTCACGCTCCCGAGGATATGGGACTACAGGCATGTGCCACCACGCCCAGCGAATTTTTTTGTATTTTTAATAGAGATGAGGTTTCACCATGTTGGCCAGGCTGGTCTCGAACTCCTGACTTCAGGTAATCCACCCATCTTGGTCTC